CCCTATCACTTTTCTCGTCTTTAGATACATACAAAATTTGGTAGTGAAATAATGCATCTATTTAACCAAGTGCCAACATAAGTTGTTCCTTTTTAGAAATAGTTTCTCTAGTGTGGTAATAAAAATTTACAACTAGAACAACTTTTCTAAAAGCACCAATTCATGTTGACACTTAATTAGCTAGATGCACCGTTTCACTCTCAAACTAATTTATCCGTATTTGAACCCGAAAAAAGTGATAGGGTTGTAAAATTATTCTCTAATCCCCCAGCCTCTTTTTAATATACCGTGAAAATAATAACAATAAATAAGGGAAAGGGAAAGATCAAGGAGAAAAGTTCGAGAAAGTATGAGTTAACATTTTATGAATTACCTAGAAGTTCTAATGAAAATAATGTGTCATAGGAGGGCATTTCAGACAACTATTTTGGTCTAGATTTACTTGTTTGATTAGGGATTTTGAGAACAAACTCCTTTTGGAATTTTATATATTTAGATATCTATTGAGGATTTGTCTCCATGCACTTACTTTCATGCTTTCTTTATTTAGCAATTTTTACTTGGTTTACAGGTTATTTTTCAATTTAAGTCTTGCAAGTCTCAAAAACACCTTCCTTGGGTGAAACGGAAAGAGATTGAAGAGTTCAAATCCAAATCTTACGGTTCATGTATGATGTAATTATGCATTCCAAATATACTCTAGATAATTTATGCGTCACATGAAGTGATGATTGTTTTTGTGATGACATGTAATATTTTTGTGTGACATTAATAACAATACATCAAGAGAAGACAGTATTAGTGAACTGATAATAAATTATTATTTTTTACATGGCATCATAGAAGAAGTCCCGGGTAGTGCTTTAGTTAATGCAGATATATGGTGGAGGAAGTTTCACTTTATGACTCGGGTGAGAATGATTCTTTTTTATGTGATCTCTGGATGTAGTGGATAAAATGAGCATACTAAGATATCGAACGATGGAGAGAGAGTAATAGCACATTTGTGTTTCTAAAGAAAATATTTTTTAAAATTGAACCAAATATGTAAAAATTGTAATATGTGATTGCATCTTTCACGTGTTTTATTTCTAACTATAGCCCTGACTTGCACTTCAGGTACTTTGTTTTAATCATATTTAACATGATACCTTTAGATTCTAATAAGGTCTGTCTCGAATCTTTCAGTCTATCATTAACTCTATAACGCTTCTCGTCAATCAACACTATGTCATGTGTTATTAAGTCTAGATCAATAGAGTTATTGCTTAGTTTTCCTTTGTAGTAGAGTTGCTACAGTAAGGGGGAAGAGATTAAAGAGTTTTAACTCCTAGGTTGCAAGAGTTTGTAATCTAAAACTTTTCTCGGTTTGAATGAAATGGAGTTTGGGTTGAAATCCTGTGAGTACAGGTCGTGGTTTTCACCGCTCTTGAGCAAGGAAGTTTCCACGTAAAATCATTGTGCCTGATTTACTTTGAGCTATTTATTTTCCGCACTTTATTCTGTTTGGGAACCTGGTCCTGTGATCACTAGTTGACGCATACATTCCAACAGTACAATACCAACATAAACCTAGAATAACGGAAACTATCAAAGTCCTAAATAGGAAAGATGACTAACTACATATATCATCAGATAGCTAAATTATAAGAAACTAATAACAAACACCTAAACTGAAGGGTAACATTTATTATTTGTTAATAGGTATGGATTTAACTCATTTATAGGTATCCAAATATATCAAATACCAAAAGGAGTATGATCTCAAAATCCAGAATCAAACAAGTAAAATCAAACGAAAATATAGTTGTTTGAGACGGCCTCATGCGGCGCATCTGATTTTGGATAAATCTTCTTGAAGAAGCTAAGATCATTCATAAAATTCTAACTCTAGCTTCCTCGAGCTTTTCTTCCCGGTCCTCGCTTTTCCTGATCTTTGACAAAATTGCCTCTTTTTTTTTGTATATTTAATATATGATGAAAAGAAGAACAATGAATAAGGGAAAAGCGGAGATCGGGAAAAAAAGTTGGAAGAAGTAAGAGTTCGCATTTTATGAATTACCTTCTAAGAAGATCTATTGAAAATTAGATGTGTTGTAGGAGGGCGTTTCAGACAGTATTTTGGTATGATTGTACTTGTTTAATTTTGGATTTGAGAACATCCTCCTTTTGGTATTCGATTTATCTTGATACCTATTGATGAGTTAGATCCATGCACTAATCTTCCTCTATGCATGATATCTGGGAAGGGCCGGACCACAAGTAATCCCCTAACCCAAATTGAAAAACAAAAACAAAAAAAAAGCTGAGTGCATTAGTGTATGATATCTGCATCACATCCCTTGGAGTGCGTGTCTCTTATAAAGAGCGGATAAATAATTGGATCAGACAAGCGCAAGTAGCTTGACCAACCCTTCTCGGGACCCTGGATGAACACCGCCAGATGCTTTGTGCATGGGTGTTAGATAGTTAAAGTAGGCCGAAATGAAGATGGTTGATGTCTAACAATGGTAATTAGAATGAGACATTGATGGTAACTAGGTACTTCATTCAAGGTATCAAGTTACTTCACCCGCCTTACACACGGATGAGATGGCTTAAGTAATCGATCAATTTAGCTATATGATATTTTATTTGCTTATTGTCAGTTGTATATTTGCAAGGATAACACTCTATATAGTAATGTTAATGGAGCGAGCAAGTATAATAAATGCGGCCTCTTTGCTTCTATATAAGTGATTACTCATTACAGTATGCCTCTATTTATATCAAGTAATGCGGTGAATTGTTTCCTTTTTCTTATTTAAAGGTCCAACTGCCGGAAGGAGTAACACCACCATCTGTTCAAACTACTCAAAATGAACTTTTAGGGCTACATATTCGCTCATTTTCATACACTCAAATCTTCGTTTTGCTTCTTTTGATGATGATCTCCCTACATATTCGCTCATTTTCATACACTTGCTACTTAAACTTGTAAGAAAGTTTTTGTGTCCTTCTTCATTAACTAGATGATATAATTAAGTTATTGATGTACTCTAAGGAGTGTTCAAACATGGAATTGTGATGTGTTGACAATCCTTGGAAGGTAGTAATACTTTTAGCATCTATAAGTGGATTTTGGACTAGCATCTATAATGGAATGCGAAAAGTAGTGATGATCAATTACTTTTTGCCATTTTGTGTAAGGAAAATCTAATTGTATTTTTTCTCAACACCTTTTGCTAATGTGATGCAGGACATAAGAAATGAAGCCACTTCGAAGCAAAATGCTCAAAATACAAGGCAGAGTTTGATCTTTACTTTTCTATGATCAAGAATGCGATGTTCCCTCTTCCAGCAACCGATGCCACTGCTGCAGGGCCTTCTGAAGGAGGAACCGGATCTCAAACAGGCAATGCGTATTTGAGTTGCTGTGTTTGATCAGAGTTTTAACGTAGTCGTTCAGGCTATATATAACTGATGATTGGATGTGTTATTATTCTACTTCTCTATACTTCTAAAACCCCGTCATGTTTCATGAGTAACCTAAAATTGATCGAACTTGTCAACTCTCTGTCTACTCATAACCATAGATTCGAACACAGAATTTCTTCACACATTGGAGTAACCTAAAAGGTTTGAATAGTTTTGTGCATTCACAATCTACCTTTTGCCTTTTACTCTGTTAGTGAAACAAATATACAGAGGGGAATTATAATATGTACGGCTCAATTGTAAATCTATAATATAATTTTCTTTAACCAATTCAGAATGAGGAATACAAATGTTATGACAATAAATTTCAAAAGTTATATTTTTTTTTATTTTTAAAAGGATTTACCTGTGAAAAGTAAAAACAACAGCAAAAAAAGTCACATTTAAGGACTGCAAATTTTGTTTTAAATTTCAATAGAAATAAAATTTACAAAAATTAAAAATTGATTAGTTTAGTAAATATGTTAGCAATTTTTCGTTTTTTTGGTGACAATATTGTATTTATTTTGGTCTAGCTTTTAATTAGTTTGATAAATATGTTAGCATTTTTCGTTTATTTTTTTGTGACATTGTATTTATTTTGCTCTAGATTTTAATTTTTCTATATTCCATTAATCTAAAAATAATTAACTACTATTTTTCTCTTGGTACTTATCTCTTCGTCTTTTAAAAAAATACAAAACACAAAATAAAATTCAAAAAGAAAACTAACTTTTAAAAACAACCAACTGTACATTTAACTTCCTCCAATTAACAATTGACACATCACCATTTTTTTGTCTTTAAATTGACTAAGCATAAACCGTTTTAATTTTCTGGATAACGAAAAAAAACAAAAAGAAGACATAAACAAACAAGGAGAGACTGAAAACGAATCCAAATTAATACATTCAAAGGTCCACTCTATATACTTCTCTTCTTCTTAGTTCATACAAATTATCTCCATTTCATAATTTATTGCCTTTTTATGTTAAATATTATTGTATGCTGTATATATATTGTCATTTTGTACTTTAATTCATGATAATATGTTTTAGTCAAATGTACAGTATGCTTAAAATGTCTTGAAATTATCATTGAGTTCGATTCATACATGTCTTCTCAAGATCCGCGCATAGTGAAAACTTAGTGCATCAGGCTGTCTTTTTCTTATACATATGTTAAGCCAGTGTGTAGGATTTTTAAAATTTGGTAATTCTATGTTTAAGAGATTTCTAAAATTTGAATTATTTCTTTTGTGAGTCCAAATTCTTGGTTGAAGGGAATCATACTTTTCTAGTTTTTACTTATTCATATGTAATAGCAAGAAAATGAACATTTTATTCTTGGTGGTCACATTTGCATTTCCATAACAAAGAAGCACAAAATGGACCATTTTTAGTTAATAGTCACATCCATTGATGACTAATTTTTCTTTCTTGTGTGCGCATGATCTTGTACATGGATATGAAATTGATGAAAATCTTTTACTTTGTTGAGTTTTTGGAGTTCTCCAGATTTCTGACAAAGGTTGCATAGCATAGATGATGCATTTAGGCGAAGATATAAGCAATGTGGTACGTATTAGTGCTGCTTTTTTAGAAAATTAATGGACGTGTTCTACAGTTCCAGCCCCATCTTATTATTAATTAAATTTACTTATCGAAAAATTGGGCTTACTGAATAACATAAAGATGAAATAGTTTATGTAATCAATTAGTTGTTTGATTTTTGATTTGCTTATTGTGTGTTGTATATTCGGTATGATAATATCATATATATAATAGTAATGCATTGCAGTATACCATTTTATTTACATCAAGTAATTAATGAGGTGAATTGTTACCTTTTTTTTCGTTTTTTTGAAGGTCCAACTGCCAGAAGGAGTAACACCATTTATTCATATTACTCAAAATGTATTTTTAAGACGAAAGTGAGTTCATATCTTTTTCTTTGTACTCCCTCAGTCCCTATTTACTTGTCCATATTTCCTTTTTTAGTTGTCCCTATTTAGTTGTTCATTTTGACAAATCAAGAAAGGACAACAAATTTTTTCCTATTATACCCTTATTTACACTTCTTGAAAATTGTAAAAGTGTATGTTGTTTCCCTCCAATTTATTTCACTTGAATTCAAATAAGTGGTTGTAATTTTGAAGTGAAAAGTTGTCATAAGGGTAAAATTGTAACTTCACTGTGCTAATCATTGTTGCCTTAATCTGTGTGCCATTTCTAAAGTGGACAACTAAAAAGGGACGGAGGGAGTATCATTTAACAATGATCTCCCTTCCGGTTTATAACTGCATTTTCTTTTAAGAATCCTTTAACTTACAGACATAAGAAACTGAAAGAAGACAATATTGCTATTTGTCAATGCAACTATGATACTAGTGATCCAGAAAGTGCGTGTGTAGAAAGATGTTTGAATGTACTAACCAACACTGAATGTACACCGGGATACTGTCAGTGTGGTGATACTTGCGAAAATCAGGTAAAATTAGATGATTCACTTAATATAGTTGAAACATTTGCTCTGTTATTTCTCTTTTTATTAGTATATATACGACTTTCACATTGATCTTATCGATTTATAAACATACAACAGATATTCCAGAAACGTGAATATGCAAAAACTAAGTTGTTCAGAACTAACGGACGTGGTTGGGGTCTTTTAGCTGATGAGAATATAAAGGTAATTCTGTATATACAGACGTTTATGTGAAAAAAAAGTTCCAGAACTGAGGCTTTTGCGCGGTAACTGCATTTTTTTAAAACTCTTTTTACATTATTAGGCAGGACAGTTCATCATCGAATACTGTGGAGAAGTGATATCATCTGAAGCAGCAAAAAAACGGTCTCATGTTTATGAAGCTCATGGTAAGTTATCGACATCAGAGATGGTTGCCAATAGTTCATCTACAGATCAGTACTAATTTCATATGATTTGTGGTGCAGAGGTCAAGGACACGTACATGATTTCTCTAGATACTAATTATGTCATTGACTCAACGCGGAAGGGAAATTTTGCAAGATTCTTAAATCATTCATGGTAAGTGCTGAATCAACGGTTGTCAATCATCTTGGTCAGTCCGTGGCACATTATGATGGTTAATTGGTGTCGATTGATAATACTGATACTGTATGTTGTTGAATTTCCCAGCCGACCAAATTGTGAAACGAGGAAATGGACTGTCTTAGGGGAAACAAGATTAGGAATATTTGCAATGAAGGATGTATCTGTTGGAATGGAGCTGACAATTAATTATTATTTTGAGTGGTACGCTGGTGCAACTGTTCGTTGTCTGTGTGGAGCTGCAAACTGTTGTATTTTTTTGGGTGCTAAGTCTCAACGATTCAAGGTAACTTTAAGTTTCTTGTGATGTTTTTTTCTGTTTTCTAAAACAGAATAGATGCTTCTAAATTCGATATGAGTTTGTCAATCTCATTTCTTATTCTTTACTTCTGTTTTTATCTTCGCTCAGGAGTACAATCATGTCTGGAAAGACGGGAATGACAGGTAATGCTCAACTTTATTTGTTGTAGTTTGTACAAATCTTGCATTTGCACGGGCTTATTAATAGATCTTGCATGTTCGTTATGTCTTTCTATGAGTAGAGTTGCTCTTCCCCTATTTGTATTCCCTCTTCTTTTGTCTGTCAACAAGAGCTCAGTCCCTGATTCAATCGATAGACGGGCTGAAAATGGTATTTCTGGACAAAATGAACAGATCTTTCCATAAGCAGTAGTCGAACTCTGTTTCATACTTAGTAGGTAGCAAACATATAGTGGCCAATGAAGTGGACGAGAGTCATGATGTCTCGGCTTAGTTAATACTGTCAAAGACTTGGTGGACAGAGTTAGTCAATACTTGTGTTACCTGGAGGTTGCAGGTACCTAGTGAAATTAGTTGAAATGTAGGCAAACTGACCGGACATCACCATCATTACAAAGAAAATTTATCAAATACAAATGATATAATTGTGAACAGTAATAAGAGAAAATTTTCAAGTAGTGCCTATGATACTATAATCTGGCTTTCTTACTGCAGATATAAGGTGGAACCAAGTAATAGGTCACATAAGAATTATAATATTGTATCTGGTTCAACAACGAAGATGAAGTCTCAACGCATTCCCAAGTGGAAGAAGTCACGGTGCACACCCAAATGGAAGGTCAAATCTTCCAGTCGTAAACAAGTCATCAAAGGAAGCACGAGAAGAAGTCACCAAGTACGAGGTATGATTACCTTTTCTTTGTAACACTTCATGGTGTAGACAACTTTTTCTTAATATTTTTACCAATGTCATGCAGGGGATAAAAAAACGAAGTCACTTTGAAGGTCAACTCTGTATATGAAGAAACTCGCCCTACCATTGAAGAGCATGGGCGGGACAACCAGGAATCAAAGCAAACTGCTCTAAATGCACATTGTACTTTTAAATTTATAACTCGAAATAATGTACTCTTATAATAAAAACTCATCATACTATTACAATAATAATAATGCTAGTTACTATGCGTCAATCTCAAGCAAGTTTTGTTTGACTATGAATTTTCAGTATCCATGTCGTGACACCATTTAAACCTTGTTATAACATGTGTACTTTTCTTGTTATACAACTGTTTTGAGCAGAATATTTTCGATATTTTGGCACTTGTGATATCATATCCTTGCCACACTGCTTGTAATTTTGAAAAATTAAGTAACTTCTCATCTTTGTTACAAAAGTAGAAAGATCTTGAAGAATATGAACGTAGTAACTCTTGTTATCAAGAGCTTACACAATTCGCCTTGACAAACGTTCATATATTTGAGAAATATTATGCTACTAATTGCCTTCAAATTGCATAGAAAATTTATAAAAGAGGAATAAAGAGAATACACAAAATTGTACTCACAATCTAGATTATAATTAAATCACTTCTTGATAAAATTCATGAGTATGCAGAAGTTTCCATCAATGGAGGCAACAGATCTTAACTCAAATGAAGAGAAAGTTGTTAATCACAGAGAAGAGTAATGTGAAAATGGAAAATTCTCATTCCAATCGTATGAACTACAAAGTTGTATCTGGCTATCTTTATATACAAAATAAAAGCATCTAACTAATCTAGCTGAGCTGTACATTTTCCTAACTAACTAATTTGCATCAACTACACCTCACTAACTATTCTAACAATAATCAACTTAACTAACTAACTTGTGCCATGTCACTGATCCAGGTGAAGCCTCCATGTCATCAATCCATGTGCTATTCATTCTCAACACTCCCCCTCAAGCTAGGTGATGAAAAAACATTGATCATCCCTAGCTTGTCTACAAGATAGTTGTGTTGTCCTCTCCCTAGAGCTTTGGTAAATAGATCAGCCTCTTGATCCTTTGAAGAAACATATTCAGTCTTGATCACTCCTTCCTGAATTTTGTCCCTGATAAAATGTAGATCGATTTCTATATGCTTTGTCCTTTCATGAAAAATGAGATTTGCAGCAATTTGTATTGCTGACTTGCCATCACTCTGTAAAGTCACTGGCAATTGAACCTTCATATTCAACTCTTTGCGCAGCCCAACAAGCCATATTATTTCTGATACCCTTGATGCCATACTTCTATATTCTGCATCTGCTGAACTTCTAAATATAGTTGTCTGCTTCGTAGACTTCCAAGAAACCAGTGAATCACCAAGCTTCATCACATAACTTGTTACTGACCTTCTTGACATAGGGCATGCTGCCCAGTCTGCATCACAGAAACCTCTAAGCTTGCTTGACTTCCTTGAACTCATAAGAACACCAAGTCCTGGAGCATTCTTAATATACCTCACAACTCTTAAAACAAATTCCATGTGAGACTTCTTTGGACAATGCATGAATTGGCTGAGCGTATGAATGTCATATGATATATCTGGCATAGTCATGGTTAAGTATAAAAGCTTTCCAATCAATCTCTGATATGGTCCTGCATCCTCTAACTTGTCATCTCCCTTTACTCCTTTGTGATCATCTAATTCAACTGTTGTCAACTTCTGATTGAATTCCATAGGAGTAGTTGCTGGTTTAGATCCTGCCAGTCCCAATTATGTGATTAACTCCATAGCAAACTTTCTCTGATTCATCAAGATGCCATGTTTTGATCTTGCAATCTCAATCCCAAGAAAGTACTTCATTTCACCAAGATCTTTAATTTTGAACCTGGACTGCAGTGCCTGTGGGATCCATCCCATGAGTTTTTTGGGTCAACAATTGCGGCTGCAATTGCTGTAAATAAAATGCAGCTGAATTTGTTTGTCAACAATAGCTACAAACCTTTTTTCTTTTGTCAACAAAGTTTGCAGCAATGCAAATTTTCGGTGGCATGATTTTTGAATAGTGCAATGCAATTGCATCTATAAAAGGAGCTCTTCAGCTCCTCATTTGATACACCAATTCACAGAGAAAGAAAAATATAGAGAGATGTGAGGTTTCCATAGACTATACAAGAAAAATAGTCTGTGAAGAAAAATAGAGTGTGAGCGATATTTTAGTAAGGTGGAAATCAAAAGAGTGTTATTCCTTTTGAGTGTGTAGTAGTCACTTTGAGTAATGTATTCGTGGCTACACGGTGTAAAATTCCTTACTATGATATCAGTTGTTCCTCTTAGCCCGTGGTTTTTCCCTTATTTAAAAGGGTTTCCACGTAAAATTCTTGGTGTCATTATTTTCCCATTTTGTTTCCATTTTTTTGACCATATATATTTTTGTGTTTATCCGTGTTTTCCCAACAAACTGGTATCAGAACCAAGGTTTTATCTGAGTATGCTCTGTGGTTGCAGCATAGTCTGAACTTCCACATCAGAAAAGGTTTACTTTGGTTTGCAATAACTATTTTTTTGGGGGGAAAACGATGGAAGCCAACACAAGTAGAATGGTCACTTTGAATGGTGTTAACTATGCCATTTGGAAGGGGAAAATGGAAGATCTGCTTTATGTCAAGAATTTTTATCAACCAGTCTTTACCATTGTAAAGCCTGATAATAAAACAGATGAAGAGTAGAATTTGTTGCATAGACAGGTTTGTGGATTCATTAGGCAATGGGTTGACGATAATGTGTTGAACCATATTTCTGGGGAGACACATGCACGAACCCTATGAGAGCATCTTGAAAGTTTGTATGCTCGGAAAACTGGCAACAACAAAATGTTCTTAATAAAGCAGATGCTGAGTTTAAAGTATCATGATGGTTCTCCGATGACAGACCATTTGAATAATTTTCAGGGGATCATGAACCAATTATGTGCTATGGGCATTAAATTTGATGAAGAAATTCAAGGCTTGCTTCTACTTGGTTCCCTACCAGACTCTTGGGAAACATTTAGAACTTCATTGTCAAATTCTGCTCCGGATGGTGTGATCTCAATAGATTCTGCCAAGAGTAGTGTCTTGAACGAAGAGATAAGAAGAAAATCTCAAGGTTCTTCTTCGTTAGATATCCTGATAACTAGCTCCGGGGGGAGAAACAAAACTCGTGATTCTCATAATAGAGAACAAAATAGGAGCAAATCCAGAGGCAAACTTAAGGATATTGAGTGCTATCATTGTGGCATGAAAGGGCACACAAAGAAGTTCTGCAGGAAGTTGAAGAGGGAAAACAAAAACAAAGAGGAAACTAAAAAAGATGGCAATGAAAATTGCCTAGCCACCGTCACCACCGAAGATCTTGTTACCGTCCTTGATGCGGATATGATAAATATTGCTTGTGATGAGTCAAGCTGGGTTGTGGACACTGGTGCCGCATCTCACGTGACATCAAGGAGGGATTTTTTCTCTTTTTATACTCCTGGTGATTATGGAACCTTCAGTATGGGTAATGAGACTATTTCTAAGGTGGTTAGTATTGGTACAATTTGTCTGAAAACTAGTATTGGAACTAAACTAGTTTTGAACAATGTGAAACATGCTCCTGATGTTCGTCTGCACCTGATTTATGTTGGTGTTTTGGATGATGAAGGATATGTTAGTACCAACGGTGATGGAAAATGGAAACTCATTAAGGGTTCCTTGGTTGTGGCTCGTGGTAACAAACGTCGTGGTCTATACTGGACTACGGCCTCTGCTTGTGTTGATATGGTGAATGTGGTTGAAAGCGACAACTCTTCAACGTTATGGCACAAGAGGCTTAGCCACATCAGCGAGAAAGGACTTAATGTTCTAGCCAAGAAGAAATTATTGTCAAATTTCAAAAGTGCTAAATTAGAAAAGTGTGAGCACTGCTTGGCTCGTAAACAAAATAAAGTTTCCTTTAAGTCTTACCCTCCTTCAAGAAAGACAGAGTTGCTTGAATTGGTGCACTCTGATTTATGTGGTCCAATAAAGACAAGGACATTGGGTGGTGCACTCTACTTTGTCACTTTTATTGACGACTGCTCGAGAAAACTTTGGGTCTATGTCTTGAAGACTAAAGACCAAGTGTTAGGTGTCTTCAAGCAGTTTCAGGCTTCAGTTGAAAGAGAAACTGGAAAGAAACTGAAATGTATTCGTACTGATAATGGTGGTGAATATTGTGGACCATTTGACGAATACTGCAAGCATCAAGGTATTAAATACCAAAAGACTCCTCCTAAGACTCCTCAGCTTAATGGTTTGGCTGAGAGGATGAACAGAACCTTGATGGAAAGATTTAGATGTTTGCTTTCTGAAGAAAAGTTGCCGAACTCATTTTGGGGTGAGGCTTTATTGACCGCTGCACATGTTATTAATCCATCTCCTGCTGTTGCTTTGCAAAGTGATGTACCAAATAGTGTTTGATATGGAAATGATGTTTCCTATGACCATTTGAGAGTATTTGGTTGCAAAGTGTAACATCCGGCAATGTGAAATAATTGAAGAGGCCTAGAATTGGAAATTTTCATTTTTGGAAAGAATTTTAAAAATCTGGAAAATTGGCCAAGTATGGAAATCAGTGAGTTTTTGGCCAACTTTGAGCAGTCACAACTCCTAGTTCAGGATGAGTTAGGAGTAGTTCCAGTTATGATTGTGAAGCTTGTGGAATGATCTTTCCAACGCCACCGAGTTTGCTCGATTCCGAGTTTGTATGAGCGAGTTATGCCCTTTGGAAGTTGGGCAGTTGGCAAGGGAATCTGTCCGGAAATTTTAAGGGCATTTTGGTCTTTTCACTAACCAATTCTTTTGGTTATATTATAGTGTTAGGCTGATTTTTTGGATCATTTTGTCCCATTTTAAAAGAGTGAGAGTGAGGGTTTTGAGTGAAGAAGAAGAGAAGAAGAAGAGAAGAAGAGGAGAAAGAGGAGATCAAGCAAGTTTCCGTCGTGGATATCGTCGGGGGTGATCCCTAGTAAGGTA